AATTTTCTTTTTAAATATCTGTTCAAGTATTCATGTTGTTAGCGTTGCGATCTGAACCGCCATATGCTAGAGGTCATGGATAGGGAGAGAACTTAAACTGAGACCTTTTTTAAGAACGTAGCTCAATAGGTAGCTCGGTCCTAAGCAGGGCACGCATTGTGTGGGTAGCTCCCAGGCGGCGTGCTGTCACGGCCTATCTTCTCTTCTCTCTAACAAAGGATGCTGACCAAGCTATTTATTTTGTAGTATCAAGTGAACAGTATGAGCGGCGGTGGCAGAGCTCTCGCCGGTCCAGCGATCACCACTCCCGGCGCGCTGCTGCTGGGTCAGCCGACTGCCGTCTGCCTACCCTTAGAAAAGTGCAGCTCCTCCCACTGTCCGGCGAGCGCTCTGCCTTGGAACGTACGGTAAGGAGCGTTGCGGTTGCAGGGTGCATACTCGCACACAGGGCGTGTACTTGGTCGCCAGTAGAGGGGGTCGTATTTGGGCCGGCAAAAATTTATTTTGATAGTTGATTTTAGTCACTTCACGGGGTCGTATCCATGTTTTGGCCGTCGTAGGAGCGGTGGTTGACTTTTTGTGATTTTCCTGTTTCTGCTTAGTATATACCCCCTCCCCCTCTGTGGACTTATCGACCCGCATAAAGCAAAATTATCGCAAAATTTTTGGGAAAAAAAAGTATGAAGTTTTCGATTTTGGAAAAAGATGGGAAAAGTGGTAGGAAGTTGGGAAAAATCGGATTGCAGAGGGAGGGGGGTGGTCGTATCCCTCGCAGCTTTTCCTGTTTCACATGTGCTATTTATCCTCACCCCGCTCGACGGCTCTATTCAATGGGAGGGACAGAGGGCGCAAGCGGGGGGGAGGGTCGCAACGAACACTCACAAAAAAAGGCGGGGCTCGTACAGACTACGCAAAAATCCCCAAGCAATGATGTTCCCAGCAATTGTGGCGGCAGTTCACCCATGGGATCCATCTTTTCAAAGTTAGGTTGAAAGCTCAGATTGGCCAGAACTTTGCTCACAGGATTATTCTGAGCCTTCGAATATCCTGAACATGGATACGGCTCCAGTTCAGCAGGACCGCTACGGACGCCATTACATCCATACTTTCGAGTGGGCCGGAATGCTAAATGGTCTTCGCTGCTCTCTTTTTCGAATTTAGATTGGATTTGGTCGAACATCCTGCCGCATCCGCCCTGGGCTAGCTGGAAGTAAGTGTACCACCGACTCAGGCGGCCAAATTGGCTTTTAGCGAGAACACCTGTAGCGCCAAAGTTTCAACGCAGTGCGTATGTGATGTTCGTCTTCAGGGGTTAAGCAGCGCAGAAGAGCTAAATTTCAGCCAATCGCACATACTGGCAAGAATGCCCATCCAAATTTGGCTTAATCGATCCATTCGGCTGAATTTGGCTTTTCCTGATTTGGCTTTTGTCTAATAGTGATGCAAAAAAGGGTAAACACTGACGATACTTGTAACTATGCTTCAATGGATTTGAGCTTTCAGGGATCATTACAAACCCACTCGCCCTTCCCGCGGTCTCTTAAACTTACCTTTTATCCAGAATCATAAAAATAAAATCGTACTTATAAAAAATCCACCATGCTCTCCTTCGTAGATCATTTCGCAATTTCCAACTAATTTGCGTTTCATGTGTGCTACATAAGGCAACCTGCGGCTGACACCTGGTCCTCCTCTTTTCTAGTCTAGAAGTGAAGCCGATCTGTGTGAGTTTGTGTTTAGGGTTTTTCTTTTTTCAAGAACGCATCTACGTCGCCTTGCTGACTTGCTCACTAACGGCCCCTGCGATATCCCAAATGGGAAGTCCCAGCACGTGTCGCAATCCCACGAGGACTGACCATCATGAAGCGATCAAGCAATCAGGGTACTGAGCATTAGCGCTAGCTGTTCTGTGTTTTGGGATACGCCATGCCCATGGGACGGGTTCGAAAATGCGGAAATATTCAAATGCCTGTACGAGAGTTGAATAGTAAATATTATCAGGTAATCATTTGACTAGTGTTGAATAGCCTAAATATTATCAGGTAATCATTTGACATAGTGAAAAAGTCTAGGAATTGTAACAAAAGCCGATTGCTCGTCGGTTCAACTAAGCTTGGTACCGTTGCATAGAGGCAGGACTGGATAAACAGGCACGCGCCTCGATCACGACTACAGCGCCATCGTCATAACCTGATGAAGACCAGCACGCTTTCCTATATCCAGTGAGGTTTTTCATCGGAATGGCTCATAGAAGCGCCCAGAATGTTTCGACGACTTAGGTAGCGCCATAAACCAATAGGAGAGCAACGCGATTCCTTCCAAGGTTCCATACGTTTGGAGATATAGTCTCTTTCGCTGCAAAGGTGAAGCATGTCAGCAGGCTACGTTTGGCGCGACGCCAGAGCGTTTTCCACCAATTGTTGTTGCTTGTCTCTTCAACGTCGCCTGGCTGGTAGAGTTACAGGCTGGCGTCGCGCCACAAACACACCCGCCCCCGACACGCCCCAGCGTCTGCCACGGAGATGACTGCACTTCTCTTTCATAACAAAGCGACATACCACAGATTCCCCATCTGTGACCGACCGGCCTTCTGGAAACGGATTGAAAGTCCGTGCCGGACCTTCAGGCTCCGCTAGTCAGCTGCTAACAACACTGGACGGACTGCACGACGAAGAATGGCTGAAAATTTTCAGTTATAATTGTTTGACCTATCAATCGAGTGAGCAAACGCTTCCACTCACATCAGATACGGCTCATCTGTCTTTCCCTCTTCAAAAATGTCACCAAATAGCTGAACCGATAGTGGATTCAACTGATATGGAAATGCGAATGTGTGGCGCATACGTTGATGTTCCACCACTTCCATAGAGATCAGCTGAAATGGATTCAAAATCATGGGCATATTAAAAGATTTACTTGTGAAACGTTAAAATTTGGCATATCATCTGAATGAGCAAGAAGCGCAACTCCCTGCTTCCCCAAGAATGACAGCTTCGATGAAATCTTCATTTATCACTCCTGAAGAATATGCTACTTCCTAGCTAGTGAGGCATACACTTACATGGAGCTGCGGTAGAAGTAGCAGGATTCTTGCGAGACGTCCTGCAGCCTTGCTCGGTTCACAGACATCCGCACACTGCTGGAACAGCGCCGTATGTACGCGATCTCTCAAGGCGCCCACAGCCGATTCACCAGTTGGCGAAAGACCGCGAGCATCTGAAAAGCTATGCACTTATTCCACCTCACTAAAACGGCATCATATAAGAAGCAGAAGTCTGTCTGTCAAGGTTTGCTTGAGCTCAAAATTTGATTTGTCTTCCGCGGAAAAATGTAATCCGTGGTCAAACTAGCAGTTCGCCAGCACAGTTATATTAATAGCAATTTTCCGCAGAGATATTATAACCGAGGTATACCACCTGGATCGCGTAGTCAGGAGGGTCGTATACAAGACTGGAGAGGAGGGCTGTTACATTTCTTCGCAAGAAAGAAGTCTGCCCAAAATTGAAAACTCTCGAGAAGCAATAGAGAGTTCGTCGATTTCCCTTTTTCTACTGCCGACCTTCCGTCATACTTCCCTGGGCGAAGACTTTCTATCCTGACGAATTTGGAGTGGCGAACTGGACATAATTTAGCTTTATAGGTCAAGCAGTTTCAGGACTGCGCGGAATGATAGTGCTCGGCCGTAAACATGCCTGTGCCCTTCCGTTTTAGAATATGGTCAGTGGGAATTCGACAACTTTTTCCAAGTTCCTATGAAAAGCTGTGCCTAGTTCCGTGGTACACGTTACGCGATCAAAAGGAGTGGTAGAAAGACCGTGAAACTGGGTTTTTAACTAGGAACTAGGTCTACAAGCCTAGTCGTTACTTTACAGGAAATCATAAGGCTTCACAAACTGGTCACGGCAGTCCCGGCAAGAATTTCGCGAAAAGCCCCACCCGCGGCGGAATAGTGCCAACGATATTTCCTTTCTACGAATCCCTGACTTCCAAGAAAGGGACCGCTTTACACACTAGTTTTACACGTGAGTTTTTATTGTTCGAGAAAAGCGATAAAGTTCCGCATCGCGATTCTCTCCGTTTTTCTTGCATTGCTGAATCCATGCGTTTTTTTTATCGCCCCATAAACGCCATGAATTCGACGCGATCTACATTTGACGATTGCGCATTGTAAAGATTCCATTGTGGCGATGTTTGTGGTTGACTACAGTATGCCTTGACAAATGAGCGGAAAGGTTCTAGGCAAGTGAAATCTGATGGACAAGAAATTCCGAGATAATGGGAAACAAAATCTTGATCAGTAATTTCTCTAGTTTTAGCTGTTTTTCACCCCAATGAACTACATCGTCACTGGGAGGAATTCTCACCCCAGACATATTCGAGTCGTCGGTAAGGGGGCATATGGAACTTGCATATGGGGGAGGGGGTCACTCTCAAAGTGGAAATGTGTGAAGGCTTTGAGGGAAAAAAACAAATTTTCCTCCTATTACCCTACCAGTTATTATCCCCCAACAGCCGTCGCAGCTCCTTTACCCACCTCAATACGTGCATACCTCCGGGCGGAGAAGCCCTGCCATCGGATGAACTGTAACCCAACGCAGTGACTGCAACGCGAGCACTGTATAAAAGTGACTGCGACCTCACCGATGGGGGCCTTCTACAACAAACGGGATCTCATTACAACCAGTACGAAGAATGACACTGCAGTACTAAGGAGTCTTCAACCATGCTGGCAGCGATCTCCTCCTAACCGAGTCACGGAATTTTCTGGGAAGCACCGATCGTCTCAAGTACGCCCCACCCATTTTGCATCTGCCTCTACGATTTGGTCCGATAGTCCTTCACTGAATCCATTCAACCCCTTCCACCTCTCTGGACTGTTCTGCAACCGAATTACGACTTGTCCACGACGCCGCTCACTTTCGG